CTCACCCTCAGCCGTGCTGCATCTCCATGAGGGAGTTAGGTGCTGCCTTACTGGTTAATACTGGGAACTACTAGTGAATAAAGGGAGAGGTTTCTCTGCTGTAGTGCACTCACGTCTCCCCCTTTTCTCTTTCTCTTCTCATTTGCAAGAACTTACCTCTCTGGACCTTATTTTTCCCTTCTGCAAAAGATGGCCATTAATTTCAGTCTCATTTTTTTCCTCTCAAGGAATGGCATGGAATAGAGTTATTAATGTATATATGCAAGAAAATCAGTTTAAAATGATCCATTGTTACCATTCTGCAAATGAAATCTGAGAACTGAAACTCTGCTTCCAGGAGATGAAAGGGTGAAACAAACCAAAAACAACAACAAACCTTCAAAGGGGCATTTCTGGGCTCTGACTGGAGTTCATGGGAAGACTGGCTACAGTTTCTGTGTTGTACCCACACACACACAACACGGCCCTCTGCCGCCTCTGCTCCCAGGGAGGCAGTCTTACGTGTCTGCTACCTTAGCCACTGCCAGAAAGAACAAGCTTTTCCATAAGCAATTTACAAAAGCCGTCAAAGTAAACCGTCAAAGTACGGAGCAGGTGGGCTGGGGAGCTTTAGCAAATCTCTCCAGCTGCTGGACAAGGTCAAACAGAAGACGTAGAACCAGTGGTGGTGGTTGAGGTTGGGTTTTGATGTAGGAGGACACTATCTGGAGGAATCAGGGTTGAAGTTGAACTTGACTTAGGTGGTCCGTTTAAGCAAGAAGGGAACCACTTTCTTATCCTCACTTATACTGAGAACAGCTGTTTACCATTTGGAACTATAGCATCTGTTGGGTAGCAGCAAAGCACAGTGGTTAAAGGCCCAGCCTTGGGAGCCAGGCTGCCTGGGTCCGAATACTGGTTTGGCTACTTCTCACTAGCTGTGTAATCTGGGGCAAATAATTAGCCTCGTGTGTGCCTCGGTTTTCCCATCTGTAAAACAGGGGTAATAATAATACCTTCCTCACAGGCCCAGTGTGAGGATTTGATGGATTAATATAAGTCCAGTGCACAGAAGAGAATAAGCTCTTTATGGTGTTAACTGATTATTATGTACAACGATTTAGAGCTACAGTCATCATTCATCCTAAGTTTTACAGGATGAAGCCCATACTTTGAGGCGCCATCAGACCCTATGTCTTGAGTCGGGTTTGGAAACTGTTGTCACTATCCTGGGGACACTCCACACCCCATGCAAAGGCATACCCCAAGGCTAAGGACAGAGTCTCAGAGCTGAGAGTCTGGTAAAGCTCACGATTTCTCTCCAGGATGAGCACTTGTAAGCCACTAACCAGTACTTGTAGCTGGAGTATGACTGCTGGTGAGCATCCCTGCAAAATGCATTCTTGTGCCCCTATTGGTGGTTTGGGTTCACAGAAAACTCCAGCCCCTGAAGATGTCCTAGTCTTTAATTACTTAGAGAACGGTGTCAACACTTTGCTGTGGAAACTGAACCTGTATTTCACGGGTATTAAGGCAATGTCTGCTGAGGATGGGGAATGTAGATCAGCACAAACTTTCTGGTGGACATTTTGGTACTAACATCTAAAATGTTTATGGCTTTCTAATCCAGCATTCCAACCTCTTAGGACTTATCCTATAGAAACACTTCAGTATGCAAAGGGTTATGTTTGAGATTCACTGAAGAGTCATTGGAAAGTAGAAACAATTCCTCTGACCCTCAAGAGACAAATGCTTAAACCAGCTGTAGCTCATCGCTACAGCGGAAGACAAGCCACTGTCGCAAAGGAGGGGATCTGTACGTACTGACAGGAGAGTGTCTCCAAGGTATAGGATGAAGAAAAAAATACATGGGACACTATTTATGGTAATAATCCCATTTTTGTTTTTGAAAGCAGTAATGTATGTTAGTATTCATTTGGGAAAAGGGTGAAAGAAAAAGAAATATTTAGAGGGATATACCGTTTGTCAGTGGTAATTTTGGGGTAGGAGTGGAGGTGAGATTGTGGGAATTTGTCTTTCTCTATTACAACAAATACATTAAATTTCTTATAATTCATATAACATGTAATCAGAAAACACACACACAGAAGCAGCCAGGGCACCCACACTGAGGACTCTGCCACTCCTCAGCACTCTCAGAGAGGGCAGAGAGCCAGCACAGGGGTTCTGGTAGGCAGCCCTCAGCATGTATCAGTGGAGATCAAACCACCTCTTCGTGGGACGCACATGCTGGGGCGCATGTGTATATATGAGCCCCTGAGTTTGCTTTCCAAACTGTGCTCTGATTTTAACGCTTTGGCTTCTGTACTCATTTTGGGGGGTAGAGGCTCCATAGCAGTCAACAAATGTTCAAAATAGTCTGGCTGGGACCCAGGAGACTTGGGGCCAAATCCCACCCAAGAGGGATACACACAATAGCTTGCCTCTCTGTTCCATGATGTTGTTGTGAGAATCAGACAAGTTTACGGATGAAAAATGACTTTCCCAACTAAAGGAAACAGAGCAACTGATCTTGCTATTCTATGTCCCACAGGGACTGCAGAGGGTCATCTAGGGGAGGGGCAATGCCGGAGCCTTCCTGGTAGCATGGACCTACTGAGTCAGCATGAAGAACTGTGGGGAGGGACAACAGGGGGTGACTCATCAAATGACAGTGGTGCAGCCCCTTCCAGGACTGATGGGGAGGGTTTGCGTTCCCTCTTCACTTGCCAGCCTACATGGGGTGTGCCGGGCACAGCCCTGAGCCCACCAGCAGGGAAGCTGCAGCAGTCGGTATTCTAAGAAGACAAATTCCCAGCCCCCAGGCAGCAGCAACTCGGTTCCCAGCAGAGTGGTGTATGGCAGTCAGAGCCGCGCTCTGCAGTGAGGCTGCTACATGTGACTGCAGAATGTCTGTGGCTGCAGAACTCACTGGAGGACACAGCCAGGCCCTCAGAGGTCATACCTGCTGCTGTCCAGGGGGCAGAAGACCTTCCATGGTCAGGGAATAGTGGCTACCTCTCACAGCCCACTCTGGAACTCAGCTCCCATTTCTGACTCTCTCCCTTGCCATTGAAATTCCAGCCGAGATTTTGGAATTCTGTGCAGGACTGCAGAAACCAGTCTGGTTTTGTACAGGTCAGATGTATCATCCTCCAACTGATTCCTACCAACTGATCAACTTTCAGATGTCCTCGCCATCCCTCCACTGCAGCAAACGGCTGGCAGAGTCACAGGCAGGTGGCAGGCAATGCTCCATTCACTCCCTCTCTCACAGACAAAGGGACAGAGCTGTGGGGTGGACTGAGGGCAGATCAACACATTCGCTTTCCTCTTTCTTCTTGGGCCAATGAGGAGAAGCTGCTGCCGCCAGAGAAGGGGGCGTGGTGAAAAGGGATGGGACTGACTGCTTCATTTTGATTGAGAAAAAAAAATGTAGCTGGGAATGCACTCATTTTGGTTGTATGTATTTCCCATTTTACAGCATTTATCATGTTGGCCTCAAAGCACGTTTCAAAAACAAGCTGAAGGGCTTCAGGTAGAAATAGGTCTGTGGCTGCCCCCATTGCTCAGAGTGGTCCACAAGGCTCGATGGGATCCAGGACATCACCTCTCTCCCCTCAGCCCCTCCACTTCCCTCTCGCTCACCCTGCTCCAGCCAGTCTGGCCTTCCAGCTCTTCCTCAAACCTGCCAGACACACTCTTACCTCTGGGCCTTTGCACCTGCCATTCCCTCTGCCTGGAATGTTCTTCCTCTGAATATCTTCATGGTCACTCCTTCACCTCCTTCTGATCTTTACTCAAATATCAGCTTCTTAGTGAGGCCTTCCCTGACAACTTATCTAAACCTACAGCTCCCACCCATTCGCTCCTCATCCCCCTTCCTGACTTTATTTTTCTCTATAGCATTTATCACCATTTGACATTCTATTTTATTATTTATGTCTGTCTCCTTCCACTACAATGTAAACTTTCCCTGAGAGTAAGGCCTTGGTCTGTTTGGTTCACTGCTGTGTTCTCAGTGCCTCGTGCAGCACTGGGCATATAGTTGGTGCTCAATAAACTGTTGTCTGTGATTTGCTTTCTTACCCTCCAGTCCCTGGCGCCTCGGCCCTTACACGTGGATGGGTGGGCAGAGCCACAGGAAAGTAGACGAATGGAAAAGAGCGGTGAAGAGAGGAGAAGAATATCAGGAAATACGGAAAAGCATGTGTGTGGAGAGATGATAAGGAGCAAAGTGAAAGTTTAGAGATTTCTGATTAAATAACAGAGGACTTGTAGAGGGACAAGTTTGTGCCAAGGAGGAAGAACAACACAGCCGAGAGGGAAACTCCAGAATGTCCAGGAAGTCTAACCTGAACAAGCAGTCGACGCTTGGGCAGAAAGCCTGGGGTTTGGCTGCAGCCACAGCTTTGGGGGCCCTGCAAGTCTCTTGTCGTAATACCATCCTCTGTGGGCCAGGGAGCTGTGGTATATAAGATATATGTATAAGATATATATACACATAAAAGTTTGGAAGAATTACTTAATAATTTGGAAACTTTTAATATTTTGGTCATGTTTAGGAGGCTTACAGTATCTTCCCCTTGAATTTGCTAACAAGGTCAGAAAAAGTCACTCTTTGAAATTGAATCCATCAAAATCCATAAAGAACAGATGCTTTAAGCCACTTGGGGAAATACAGTTGGCCCTCCATATCTGCGGGTTCTGATACAGAGGGCTGACTTTTTTGGTATCCACAGGGGTCCTGGAACCAATCCCCTGTGGATATCAAGGAATGACTGTAATTTAAATTAAGATAGGCAATTTATAAATGGAGACACAGGGACTAGGATGCTTCATGAGGCACTCCCTAGGAGACTAGGTTTTTAGATTAGAGAGAGTTTCTCAGTCTAATCAAGGTGATCAATTGTGATATGTCCTCAGAACTGGAATGCATTAAATGCAAATAGAGTTGTAAGTTAAATAAATCATCTAATATATTCAATCTGATTAGGTGAAGTGGATTGTGTGGCGTCTAGTTAAAAGAAGGCCAGGAAATAAGAATTTTTGTATATCCAGGTCATCCAAAGGAGATTCTTCTCTGATTTGAAAGCCCCAATCCTGATTTTCTAAACATCCTTGATTTGGAAAATGGAAATTAATCCACCTGCCCTAGGTGAATGGAAATATTCTTTAAAAACATCTGACTTCCTTTGTTCTAATTCTTTGCTAAGCTAACTTGTGATCCATACTGCCTGTAAGTTGGCCTTTGTAAAGGAGTGCCCACCACAAAGGTTCTAAGCTAAGAACCGGGTCTCTAATCTGGTCAGAGAGAAATATCCTGCTGTTAAATGGCACACAGGCATGCTTGGCTATAGCTCCTTCAGTCACCTGAGAGTTTTGGGAAATTGTGTTTTGGCTCCCCTGGGCCTGGTCACACCAGAGAGTGGGGATAAAATCCTGTAACAAATTCTGTACCCAGCCCAGCAAAGCTGAGGACTTGACCAAGGAGCCCTGGTTAGCCTTGTCAAGGTGTTGACAATAGGAAGGGCTTGCCTAAAGCAGTCAGCCAGTTTCTCCTTTTTGTCTTGTCTTTTAGGTTCAATCAAAATGCAGTGATCAAAATATATAAATAAATAAAGGAGTCCACAGTGCCACATCTGAAATGATTTCAATAAACCTGGCATCGGGTCACCAATGTGTGATGCACTGTGCAGCACGCATTTATTCGGTACTAACCCACTGTCTAAGCATTCATCTTTCTAAAGGACCCAGAGGACCGAATGTAGGATATAAACTCTCACCTGAGATGTTTGTGCCTCTTTTCTCCTAAAATCAGGGCACCTCTAATGCAAACAGTAGCAGAGGGAGTGAAGGAAAATGGCCCCAGACGACAAACAGAGAGCTTACCCTTCTCTGGAAGATTCAACCAGCTTGATTCTCTTTTCTGGAGATCAAATCCTCCTCAACACCGTAGCTTTCCATCTCAATAGCAGAGGACAAGATTCAGACTTCTTATTCTTTCCAGCCAAGATAATTTTATTCCGTTTTGCATGTTTTGATAATTTCCTTCCCCTCCCTACCTCCAACTGCATCTCCATTCTCTGAAATGCCTCTTGAGCAGCCAAGGATGACTAGCTCTGGCTGCTCCGCTTTATCACAGGGAAGAACAATCTCACCATGAAAGAATATCAAGATATGTAACATATGGGTGGCCAACCTCTTCTACTCAAGAAGCAAGTGGTCAATTAATCAAATTCCATCAGTCGTGTTAAAAAATATACTTCCATCAGGTAGACATCCTTCTCTAAATGCTACGGCACAGTGAAAAATGTGCAGATTAATGAGATTTATAATCTTTTTTCTTTTAACGGCACACACTTCAGGCTGGATGCAGGATGGCTAAATAGATGCTTTAGGACGGTCAGCCTGAAGACACAAATGACCAGAGACGTAAAGCCACTTCCAGGGTCAGCCATACTGCCCGCACCAAAGAGGCAGTGGGGCCACCTGCCGGAAGGCTTGGGCACTGCTCTGGCTGCTTGGTCCCCCTCTGCCTCCTTGATGTCCTTTGACTCAGGTCTATGGCAGGGCAATAATCTTTTTCTCCAGCTTCTGTGGTGGGAACAGGAAGTTTCTCATTATCTCATCCAGCTCTTCCAGGGCCAGCTGGGCATGGAGTTTGGCCACGTCATCGGGCTCCAAACGCACCACATGCTTCAGCAGGTGGTAGAGATCCTTGAGGACGTCCCTCAGCACCTGTACCAGAGAGACAGAGTCAGGACCATCTGCCTACTGTGCCACCATTTCTCAGAGTGACCTAACTGCCCTCTCCTGTCTGAGGAGGTCAGTAGGGGACCCACAGGCTGCCTTAGGAAGATAATGCATAGCCTTCTCAGGCTGGAGATGGAGAGAGGGGCAGCTGTAATGACGTAGGTTTCCCTTTGGGTTTCTCACACACCCTTGAGCCCTCACTTCACTGGCCTTTGGAGCTGCTGCTCCCCTTTAGCCCCAGGCCCAAGTATAGTAGTCCTAAAGGATGGCACAGACCTCAGGACCACCGACAGGCAATACTGCCCAGATACTGTTGCTCCTAGAGCATGATTTACCAGCATCTTCCTCTCTAGCTCCCACAAAGCCCTTTGCTGACACCCACAGAGCAGGCATCTACTGTATGGAATCCAGGAGAATATTTCTTCAGCAATCACGCCTTTCCTTGCCACTGCTTTATAATTTTATTTATTTATTTATTTTTTCCCCCAAAGCCCCAGTACATAGTTGTATGTCATAGCTGCACATCCTTCTAGTTGCTGTATGTGGGATGCGGCCTCAGCATGGCCGGAGAAGCAGTGCGTCATTGTGCGCCCGGGATCCGAACCCGGGCTGCCAGCAGCGGAGCCCGCGCACTTAACCGCTAAGCCACGGGGCTGGCCCTCCTTGCCACTGCTTTAAAAATTTTCCACCACAGGTCCATTTCCATGCCCTTCTCCAAGTCACTATATATTTTTTTCAATTGCAACTCTGCAATGGGAAATAAGAGAGGATCTGTAGACATAGCCACACTTGTTTGTCATGTCCAATGCTCATTTTTTTTTTTTTTTGTGAGGAAGATCAGCCCTGAGCTAACATCCATGCTAATCCTCCTCTTTTTTGCTGAGGAAGACCAGCTCTGAGCTAACAGCTATTGCCAATCCTCCTCCTTTTTTTTTTCCCCAAAGCCCCAGTAGATAGTTGTATGGCATAGTTGCACATCCTTCTAGTTGCTGTATGTGGGACGCGGCCTCAGCATGGCCAGAGAAGCGGTGCGTCGGTGCGCGCCCGGGATCTGAACCCGGGCCACCAGTAGCGGAGTGCGCGCACTTAACCACTAAGCCACGGGGCCGGCCCATCCAATGCTCTGATCTTACGGTCTGATATGGAATTGGGGGCGATGCCAAAGCACCTACTCCCAGGAGCTCCTAATTTCCTTCAAAATCATCCTGGCTTAGGAGCTAGAACTTGTAGCAAGAAAAAGATTTCAAAAGAACAGGGCAACTCAGAGTAAGGGCCCTCAGGGATCATCTAGTCAAGCTAGGGACAGAAGACACTAGGTCACAGGAGGTTACATGACTTGTCTCTGGCTACTTGCGAAGTTACTTCTAGTCCAGGGCTCTTTGCCTCAAAAGCTACTACTTTTTGGGTCAGGTACTGTACTAGGTATTTTCCATATATTATCTAATTTTTATGCCAGTCATATAAAGGAAGGTTTTTAGCCCCATTTTACAGATGAGGAAACAGAGGATTAGAGGGTTAAGTAACCCCCCAAGGTTACTCAGCTAAAAAAATGGTGGAGGCAGATTTTAAACATCCATTGTCTGTGTTCTAATTTATTTATTTTTATTGAAAAAGTAGTACAGTACAAAAAAGTACATATTGAAAAATAAGTCTCGGGGCCGGCCCCGTGGCTTGGCGGTTAAGTGCGCGCGCTCTGCTGCTGGCAGCCCGGGTTCGGATCTCAGGCGTGCACTGACACACCGCTTGTCCGGCCACGCTGAGGCAGCGTCCCACATACAGCAACTAGAAGGATGTGCAACTATGACATACAACTATCTACTGTGGCTTTGGGGAGAAAAAGAGGGAAAAAAAAAAAAAGGAGGATTAGCAATAGATGTTAGCTCAGGGCTGATCTTCCTCACAAAAAAATAAGGGCCAGCCCCATGGCTTAGCGGTTAAGTGCGCGTGCTCCGCCACTGGCAGCCCGGGTTCAGATACCGGCTGCGCACCGCTTCTCCAGCCATGCTGAGGCCGTGTCCCACATATAGCAACTAGAAGGACGTGCAACTATGACATACAACTATCTACCGGGGCTTTGGGGAAAAAAAAAGGAGGAGGATTGGCAATAGATGTTAGCTCAGAGCCGGTCTTCCTCAGCA